GAGGTGAGTGCTTCACTCTTCTCACCCTAATCCCAGCCCATTATCATTTTATCTTAAAACTCAGCAGACACTATAAAATGCCATCTTACAGAGCAATGAGTTTCCTTCTGCCTTTCTTCACTTTCTTTGGGATCACTTATTTGACCTTCAGCCTGAGTTACAGGGCCAGGCAAGTGTGCTCTTGCATCTCAGGAGCACTTGACTACAGTCTCCCTGCAGAGGGTGCTGTGGAGTCCAGACACTCAGGAAGGTGGAGAAGTCTTAGGTGGAACTGGGATGATTGCCCATGCGATCTTGCCTTTCCCTGGCATAGTGTTGTTATGAAATCACTGACTTTCTATTTGCTTTGAGGGCTGAAATAAGTCAGTTATCGCCAAATAACCGATCTGATCTCAGACAAATGCCAAACAGAGCTAAGCTCCTCTGTCCTGGGGGTGGCCATAAAAATCCAGACAAATTTCCCCAAGTGTTGGTGGCTCAGCAACAGCTTCTGTGAGTTCTGTTTTCCCCCAGTTCCCCTGTGGGTCTAAAGGGATGAGGAGGGTGAGCTACACTGGCGTTCTGAAAGGGAAGACTATGTACGTCATTTCACCAAAACAAGTTTTGACATTTCCCCTGAGATGTCATCCTCTACATACTCATTGCAAGTGCCTGCTGCTCCAGGCCTTACCTGCTGGGCAATGATGATCGGGCTGGGACGGGGACAGAATAAAGGAGCTGGGACCTGTAGCACCAACTCCCACTCAGACCCTGAACAAGCACCAGAAGGCCACTCTTTGAGGAGGCTCAGCAGTTTTTCTTAGTAAGTTAGATGATCACAGCAGCTCGTCTGAAATCAGATAAAGCTATTAAGTTTCACCCCATAGCACATCTGGGGGAGGCATGTCACTGGCAACTAGATTGGCCTCTTAAGGTATAGGATGGGGAAATCAGCAAGTCATGCTCTTGTCTTTGATTCCTAGCTCCTGTCGTCTTCAGATCGTGGCACAAGATGAAAGGCTCTGGTCTCCACCTCTGCCTCCTGTCGGCTGTGTTTTATTGCTTCTGGACACCTTCGGCTGGGCTGAAGACACTTCATTTGGGGAGCTGTGTGATCACCACAAACCTTCAGGAAATGCGAAATAGATTTTCTGGGATACGGGACAGTGTGGTATGTGAGGGAGGCACCCCCCCACAACTTTGTGGCTGCCTCTGCCCTTCTCTACTTGTCTTTCCCTGTCCCCCAGCTGCATGAGCCCAAAAAAGAGGCAGGCTGGGGACTCCTTACCAGGAGGATGCATTCCCCAAAAACATATGTAGCTCGTAAGTTAGAAGTGTTTTGGAAAGGGACACTGCTCACTGGGCCATGGCAAGGAGGGGATGAGAGGCCTTGATGTCTCAGACCCTGGCAGCCGTCACTGATCTGTCCTTTTCCACCTTGCCTTCTTCTGTTTAGCAAGCCAAAGATGAGATCATTGACTTCAGAATCTTGAGGAAGACTGAATCTTTGCGAGGCACAAAGGTATGTGCTTGGCCCCTTGGAGTTCTGTCAGGGAATGTGAATCAGGGGCAGCTCCATCACCCTGGGTCTTGTCCCTCGACCCTCTTCCCCGACCAACAAACCAGTCTTCTTTGTAGCCTGCAGATCAGTGCTGCCTCCTCCGCCATATACTGAGACTCTACCTGGACACGGTATTCAAAAACTATCAGACCTCTGACCACCATATCCTCCGGAAGATCAGCAGTCTCGCCAACTCTTTTCTTACTATCAAGAAGGACCTCCGGCTTTGTGTGAGTAAGGGTCTTGGGTAAAAGTATCCATCGCAGCACACAGCTTCAATGACTTAGCAACCAAGTTCTTTCTTACCCCCACTTGATGATGGAAAAACTGAGTCCAAAATTTCTAATAATCTGTGTTGAGCCATGTGACTAGATAACAAAAACTCAGTTTCATTGACTTTTAGGTATCTGCTCCATATAAAAAGTCTAGAAAACTATGAAATGCTAACTATTTGATGTTAATAATAATTATCTTTAATCCATAAATTTAAGCTTTTTCTGTAGGTGAGGTATCCTATGATATGCTAGTGCATCCTGGGTCCAGGAAGCCAATCAGTAGGCCATTGGTCTTAGTCTCAAGATAGGGTCTGAACAGGACCTAGGAATCCAATTTTTACTTCCCAGGGGCTCTTTGGGAGGGGGCTAGACCAGAGCTGGGGTGAGAGGTACAGGCAAGATGGGATGCCATGATCACAAACTCTTTCAGTGTTGCCTGTTTCTGAAAAGAAGCAATGAGCTCTGTATTTGAGCCTAAAAAGCTGGTGTCCTCTTCTGCTGATGATTAGGATAGTGATCCCAAATGATGAGGTCTGAGAAGACTTTTCTATAGAAATGGAGTAGAATTCCCATCTACTTCACGTCAATGGCAAGGTCAGAAAATCAGAATGTTTAAGAAAACCTATTATTCTTTGGCATTCTTTTCAGCATGCCCATATGACGTGCCCTTGTCGGGAGGAAGCAACAGAGAAATACAGCCAGATTCTGAGTCACTTCGAAGAGGTATATACAATTTTGGCTGTGGTTGGGATGAGTGTATTTTTAAAACTGGATCATAACTGGGTGGGATGGGTATTCATACTGGTAGAAATCCTGTAGCCCTCAGGTTAATAGCCCTCTGAGGTCATGTGGACTATCCCTCTGCTTTACCCCAGGGGACATCCATCCAGGCTCTAGAAGGGTGCTCTCTCTCTGGAAGATGCTCTGGGAATTGAGAGAGAATGGCCATGATTCCATCAAGTCACTCCAGAGACGTGTGGATCTTCTAGCTGCATAAACAAGGGGCCATAGTTTCCAACATTCACACACTTATACATACGCTCAAAAGCAGTCACTCACAATTTCACACATGCCCATGCCATGCTGTTTCTCACCTCATTGCCTTTGTGTATCTGCCAGAAAAGCCTAGAATACTCTCCTCGCTGACTAATTTCTACTTTTCCTCTAAGACTCAGCCTAGGCATCATCTCCAGGAAGGTACTGCTACTTCTTTGAGTTAGGTGCGTCCCCTGTCATCCTGTGTGAACTTCATCATTTATTCACCACAGCACATTTTATTGCCTGCTTCTACTTGTCTTCCTTATTTGGCTGTGAATTCCCTGTGGGTAGGGTTGTACCATTCATCTCTGGATCCTTAGCCAGCCCATGCTTAACACAATAAATGTTTGTCCAATTCAAGTATGCACAGTAGGCAACTCCTATACACACACACACACAC